AGTGCTTTTCAGTGTCTTATAGCTAATATATTAATGTAGAAATCTATCTATCTATCTAATCTCTTTGAGGTTTAGCTTTTACGACAAGTTAGCTTTATATTTACAGCAGCACTTAACCACTTCCAACTGTGGCTTTATTGATTTTTCTTTTTTTTTTAAGATCTCTCATCCACTCTGCCATCAGTGGCTTACTCCCGGGCCCCCAGCCTGGGTCTGGTCATGTACCTGCTGAAGAACAGCGCTGCAGATTTCTTCCGCTTCCACCAGAGTCACAGACAAAGCCTGGGCAAGCTGCAGAGCCTGGATCAGCTCCCTCCTGAGGAGCTCAAGGAGGTAATGATGGACCAGTAACACTAATATGCTCCGTCTCACACTCACCACACTGCTGCACACATTCAGGAAACAGTTTTTAAAGTACAGGTAAAAAAAAGTTTGAAAAGAAAGTAACTTCTTTGTTTTATGCACCTTTTTGGCTCCCACATGCATTGGGTTCAGTTCTAACAACGGACATATTCTCTGTAGTTGTGCCAAGGCCTGGTGTCTGGCCCAGGAGGGGTGGAGAAAATCTCATCAGTCCAGAGGAGCTTGCTGGCCAAGAGACGACTGGTCCAGCTTATCAACAACAGAGCCAAGCTGCTGGCCCTGTGCTCCTGTATCCTTTGGTCCCTTGCTGGCACAGTCTTACAGTCGTCACTAGACTTCAGCGTTAAACTGAAATAGTTTTTTCTGACCCCTTTTCCACACCTCAGCATTAAAAATCAAGTCCCATATTGTCTAGTGTTTCCCAAACCTAGACTTTACTTTGGCAGGCTGCCCAGGTATATTTAGCGACCCTTTTTAGCAGTTTGTAGAGGAACACAGAGAGAATTCTTATGAGAATGAGTACAATTAAATAAGAAAAAAAACTAGTATACTAGAAATAGAAATATACCTGGCAATCCCAACACAAATTCCACTGCCTCCCAGGTTGACTGTCATTCTGTGGGAAACACTGTTTTCCATCTCCAGGTTATTGTGTGTTTGTCTTTGGGACTTCTCTTTAGTAAGTTGGAATAACACCATGTAAAAATGCCACATCATGAATTGTAGGGAAATGCCTTGACCTGCTTCTTCCTCAGATGTTATCGAGACCTGTTTGTTTGTGTTGTGGCGCCACCTGGAGTATTACCTGTTGCATTGTACTCCCACCGACCCCAAGGACTCCCTGTTGCCTGGAGCCAGTTTGTATAGATCCCGCCTCGCAGACGGTGAGAAAAGCTGCTACAGATATACCCACATTTAAGCCAGGGTTGGATTCAGTCTTAATTAGGGAAAAAATGTTTAAAGCACAGCTGACATGGCGAGTAGTTTGCCTAGTTACGAAACCTCACCTGCAAAGTTAGTGTTTCTATTCCCTGGACTTCAGTGAATTTAGCTTGATTGCAATCCATTAAGATATTTCTTGTCTTCAGACTCGTTTGGCGGGCTGCAGGCAAGTGGAGGTCGTAGCCTCGGCCTGTCCCGAGTCAGCCAGCAAGACCTAGACCTGGTAAGAAATGGCAACTAGCTGCTTGTACACGTTACCCACATATTGTAATACTACGTTTGTACCTGTTTACATGTACATTACCACCTACGTTATTCCTGATCTGTCTGTCTTGTCTTCTGCTTGTGTGAGTGCAGCTGAAGAGCGACATGGCCGCCGGTTTCGGAGAGGCTCTGCAGAGGAAGCTGCTGGAGGTGGAGGGTTTGTACAGCCAGGTCCGCTCTCGCTACACCTTCATCCAGGCCCTGGTCCGCAGGATCCGCGGCCTGCTCCGACAGCCCAAAAGCTGAGACCGATGCACACAAATACAAAGACTGGCCAAGACCCAAATTCTCACTTTCTTATTGAATGAAAACTTCCACCAAGCAATGCCAGAAAACTACCAAGGACCCCAACTGTCGGTTTGCCCTTTTCTGGCAACATCACTCCTTTTTACCAACCTCTTGTAGCAATACGTGCCGCAGTGTGTGTGACCAATCCCAATTATGTTTGGCTAACGCTGTGCAAGGAGCGTTCCTCAAAAAAGTGAGAAGAAGTAACTTGCACAAAACACTTATGAAATTTTTGCTCGTTAAGAGAATTTGATATACTTTTGTTTGCTCTGATTTCTCTTTTTTTCTGTAGTGAAAATAAACGTTTTCTAAATCTGTTAAATACGTGTCTACTTCACACACACACACCAAAGCACCTAAGCCACAGCAGTAATTTGCAGAATTTATTGAGGTTTCTTAATGACAAACTGGAGTCACTATCTGCTAACATGCACTAAGGTGTGTGTGTGTGTGTGTGTGTGTGTATATACAGTAGGGCTGTAACTGTTCTGAAACCGAGACTGAAATGCCGCTCCACAGACTGAGTTCTCATTACAAGCGGAACTGAGGTATGAAACGATCCCTGGCTCGAAAAATTGAGGTCTGAACCGAACGATGGATTTGGAGAATCGTTACACCCCTAATATACAATGTGTACGAATAGAAATGTTCTTCCTATGGGGTAGTGTTTCTTTGCTGCACAGTGACCTCTTTACTTGGTTTGTACATTTCCAGACAAAGCTTCAAATGTCACCTATTTTTAGTTCTTGACTTATCACACGCTTCTTCAGACTGTTGCTCGCTTCTGACAAACAGCAACTACTGACTCCACCTGTTTTTATGTGTGTGTCTGGGGTGACTCATTGTGAAAAACTTGTTATAGGGAACCAAAACGAGATGTTTATTTGTGAAAGTAGCATCAGTGACTGATGTGGGCAGAAGTGTTGGACTGGTTTGAAATGCCTTGAGAACACATCGCAGGTCAAGTCATCTAAGTAAAATAACATTACAAACAAGCCAGATCCACATAAATCATATTCAACCTCTGTTTATTTTCTTTGAAGGTACACTTTAAAAGATCATAAAGTGCGTAGATTCTCAAACCTTAGGTGATGGGGACACTTAAAAATCTGGATATACATTCAGATCCTACAGATGGGGAAGTTTTGTGCTCTTGCTTTTTATTTGAATACTGCAGAGGGGAAATGGTTCAGGGGAGGGAGGGGGGGTAATACTCTGGTGAGCACCAGCATCGAGCACAGGGGGGAACATGGCGAAACAGAACCATGTGAACGAACAAAGTCCATCCAGCGCTACAAGCGTTCGCTGTCACGCTGAAGAACCGAGGTCTGATGAGTTAGTGGAAAAACATCTGCTCTCAGAAAAAAATAACATCTACCTACTGCACTTTGTAGTTGACAGTTAGGGAACAACTTTGTGCTACTTTTATCGGATCATGCTTTGTCATACTCTATAAATTACATTAAATATTAAAATTAATTACAGCATCAAAAACATATACATTTCTCACACCAGCTTGCTATATCTGGGATTGTGCTGCACTTGCATCTTAATAGAAAAGCCTGCCACACAAAGACGACGGTGATCGATCACATCTCTCCACACTGTAGTTAGACAAGCATTTACCATTCATCCTCAGATTTGCATGCCAATGACTATCATCCATCATTTGTTTTAGAAGACACATGATTGCAGTGTGCCATTTCAATACAAACAGCACTGTCCAGACCATACGGTTGGTACATATTATGATATCATCGAGATTAAGCATTACATTTAAACGGCCATTTTACACATAAAGGTCAGTTTTTCTTGTCATGGAGAGTACTACTCAAGCTGTGAAAACAGTTGTGTCCTGCGGCTCTGCAAGGGGCTTTCTGAGAAAGTAACTCTGAGGATGTCAGAGTGACATCCTCAGAGTTATCTAAGTATCTGACAGAAAACCCGTTGATTTCAGAGGCAGGACACGTCTAATTTAAGTCGCCACAGAGTTGCATCATGGGAATTGTAGGATCCAGTGTTTCTGAAGCATTGCCATTAAAAAAAAAAACCTGTGGGCAGTGGGTTCAAAATCAATGAGCAGGACTGACTTGTTGTAGTAATGGATGTGATGTAGCACCTTGATTTGTCAGATATTAGTTTAACTGGATGAGCCAAAAACAGACATTCACTTTTGGTTGTTTGATCTATAAATGTATATCTATATATTACAACATGTATTGCCATTGCCAATATATAAAATAACATACTGGGAGACGATTTTATCCATATCTCCCACCTATATGAAGCTGGTATTTTAGACTGACTCTTATTTCTCCTATGGTCAGCTATGAACATATTTACAAATGATTTGATTTGACTATAGGACAGGCGCAACCAATTGCAAAGCAGACAGATCAGCCAACGTGCATCCAGAGTTCGATTAGGCTGTTGATGAATCTTGGGGTGAAGGAGGGACATGAGACCATAATTATCCAACCACATGATCTTTTTCCCAGTTTTGGAACTATCTTCTCAAGCAAAGACAACTGGCAACACTGTAAATACTTTACTGTTTTCTATGTTACCAAAAGAAAGTTTGAGACTGATTTCTGTACAAACAAACACAAACGTTCCTTTTGAACAAAACAAATAAAACATTTATACTGTACAGGTACACAGAGAGTTGGGTTACAGCACCAGCAGACTTAGTTTGGACTTTCCTTTTGCTTTGATTCACATCCAGTACAGGGTGCTGTGTAAGTCTGTGGTAGTCCACTGGCTCACGAGTAGTTGACACAAGTTAAGAGTGTATGAAGAGTTTGAGCTGTTGTTACTAGTGCCTGTTTGAGGGAAGTCAATCAATCCTGAGGCCCCTCTGCTCTAGTGTTGATTGTACCAGACATGTCCTTTTAGTAATCCAGCACAGCTCAAGCAGTGAATTAGAAATTCTTGTGTGGGTTTATGAGAGAATCCAGGAGGAAACTGGGAAACAGCAGAATGGCAAGGAAAGGCATCTTATACAGCACTGATTTTCCACTCTGTCTTTAAGATTCAGATTCAGAAGTACAGCATGGAGAGTGTGGATTTGTATTTTGTGCGAGCAGGACACAGCTGCACGTCCTGTGTTTATTGTGCAATCCAACAGCAGTTTACTTGCACTCTTATGTGCTATCAGTGCCCGCGTCTTGTGTGTTGTTGTTGTCCATCGTGTTGGCATTGCTGCCATTGGTCTGAGGGCAATCTGGCATCTCACCCTTCACTGCCACCCGGATCACTTTCAGCCAGCGCTGCTTAAGCTCCTCTGTTTCAGCAGCAAAGTTGTGGATGGACTTGGACTGAGAGAGGCGGAAGTTGGCGGGAGGGTCTGTGGGCTTGGCGCTGTCATCCACAGAATAGCCCAGGAGGGGGATAGTACACTGGGCCTTCACGTCCTGAGGAGAGTGGTTGGAGAAGAAGAGAACCTTATCTGTATGGATGGATTTTCAATGAATATGGGTGATCTAAGGTTTGCTTCATGTTCTTGGTGTTTTACCTGCGGAGCTCCGTAGAGATAGAGCACCAGACACTCCTTCTCAGGGATGACGCACCACACCTTCTGCCAAGGTTTGTTCTTCTCACAGTACTGCAGGAAGCCGCACATGATGCTGCTGCCTGTGAACTGAGCTGCCTCGATCTGCACGGGGGGGAATTAGTTTGACTTAACTTTACTTTACTCATGCAAAATCAGCATTAAAACTTTAAAGAAATAATGATTCCACATTTATTCTGACAATTATCAATCGAGTGATATAATATCATTTATCGTGAAAACATTTTTGGCCACATCGCCCAGCCCTAGTATCAATACATCCTCTTCACCTCCAGGATGCCCTTCTTCTTGCCCTCGGCTATCATTTCTCCAGTCAGGATGGAGTAACAGTCTTTGCACACTTTGTTTGTCTTGTAGCCATCATACTCGAGTGCCACCTTATTGTCTGAACATTTCCAGCACACCACCTGCCGGAAAGAGGAACAGAAGATCTTTCGTCACTCCCATAGTTAATATCATGATATACCACGTTCTTACTAAAACCATCACTACTTTTTTTTTTAATTGTTGAATTTGAAAACTACTACTACTACTACTACTGTTATCTTATTTAATCACTGAAGCATTTTGTGGCATTGGTAGCTATGGAAAGCAGACAGTTAAGAGATGAAACAAAGAAGCTATGAATAAAATTGGGGATGTTTCTATTACATCAGTAGTTTCAAAGTCTGAGACTGCAGACCTCCCCTTAAACAAAACTTGGGAAAAGGCAGCCCCTCACCCCTCTTAGTTTCCTTGCTTAGCTTTGCTCAATTCCTGGATGCATTTGGGGTTAATCATTATGTTATTTGATCCCATAGACACTCAAAATTTGAGGCAAGATAGCCTAATATTGCTGTCTGAAATAACGTCACACCAAATACATTAAAATAAGGTCTGTCCTAAGGAATGTATTAGTTTCTGACTCTGATGAAGTGGGAAAAACAGTTCCCCAAACCTATTGTATCTCTTCTCTATCTCTTCTTTAACCACGTCACACATGTGTAGGCTATTCTACGTGATTTCCTTTTGATAACTAATGTAATATTGTTTCACTTCCATTCACTGAGCCTCTCCTGAAACTGTTTGGAGCCCCCCTGGGGAGGCCCGCCACACACTTTGAAAACCTCTGTATTACACGGTCAGCGTCTGACAGCTCTAAAAAAAACATAGGGGTAAACCGGGGGTGAAAGTAACAAGGCGATTTTCTCAGAGCCCTGACCGCATTTGCAGGCCAAGCTGTGACAGCACCTTCAGCACGCAACCCTTATATCCCAAATATCAAATCAAATATCGTACGATTTTGTCATCGTTTACCGCGGCCGTCTTCGGAAAACTGTTTTCGAGCGGCAAGTAAAGTATCGGCAAGTAAATTTCTGAAGCAGGACCCTTTTTCGAATTACAAGTTGTGTATCTTGTTTCATGTTTCACAGTACTGATTAATCAACAAGTTATTTAGTGCTTTAACACACCCTGAAGTTTGCCCTGTCAGAGTTTTTCAGTGTAAAAATAAATCGTGTTTATATGTCAGGAGTTCCTGTCGGGACGAAAGTAACATGTTTATGTCATATTATACCAACAGAATATGCAAATAGCGTGGGTCAGAAAGTCAGATGTCTGATTCAGCCAGATGTTTATGAGAAGGCGTTTCTGGACATCTCTATTAGAAACATTAGTCTCTGGTCAGCTGATAAAGTCGCATGCCATATGCCATGCTCTTTGTTCAGATAATGCAGGAGGAGGGCAGAGATAATTGGGGAGAAGACTAGACCAAAGGTACAGATAACATTATTAAGTCTTCTCCTTGGACTAAGAGAGGAAGCTGCATGCTTATATTAAGAGAGCGGCTGATATTTATTTTGGCCTGTCTCCTAAGGAGGTCAGTGTAGTAGGTGTCAGTAAAAAGCACTCAAAATGCAGATCACTCATACTGTTCTTACTAAAACTAATTTAAATTCATTTCAAAATGTGAAATTTGTATAGGCCTATTCTGTAAATAGCTTAATTAAATATCTTAATTTTATTGTTTACTTTCATTTTTGTCTTTCTAAATTAAGTTTAATTTTTTCACTGTTTCTGAAACTGCTGCAACATGCAAATATCCCCAGTGCAGGATCAGTAAAGTCTTATTTTATTTTAATCATGTCAGGTTCATAAATAATCTCCATCTAACCGTTTCCCCCCTGTTTTAGGTGCACACATTTGCATATTTATATTATATATTATTATATAATATAATCTTAATATAATATGAAATATTCTAAATAATTCAAGTTTGGGCTATCAGATTACTTTTGAAACTGAATATTTAAAATAAAAATGTAATTTGAATTTTGTTTTTAAAGATAAAGGACAAAAGATGTTTGCAGTTACACTTTAACAAGGTCACAGGAATGTTTATTTATTAAATACAAGGGTATCACAATAAATCTAGCTTGTGTTTTTGTGTTACTTTTGTTTAAAGTGAAATTATACGGAAGTCGTTCTACATTTGTACAAAATACCACCTGATATTGATAGACCACACCTGTGAGTTAGTGACCACAGCAAAAATATATCTCTGTCTGAAACATCATCTTTTAAAATCAGGTTTTTCTGAAAAATGGTACTTTTGCCCCTGCTCTCCCCTACAGATTATACAGAATGTGACTCTAACATGGAAGAGCATTCAATCTCCTTGATTGAACGCCTACATATTTACCATTATCCCCAAAATGTATTTCAGGAGTTTCACTTCTCGTACTAGTGGGAGCTGTAAAAAAGTGAAACTATCAATAGGTTTATGTTAGTGTGGTGAGTGGGTGTTTCATTTAAAGGTGAAAAAAGGGTTGTTAAAAAGTGATCAGGGTAGATAAATATGTATATACAGTGTGTCCAACGAAGGTTAAAATCAAGGGCAACTGGACTTGGTTGAAGATACTGGAAGACGTTTCGTCCCTCATCCGAAGGACTTCTTCAGTTCTGACTGACTGGCAGGGAAACTCAGCTATTTAACCTCAGTGGGGTCGTTATCCCGGGTCATCGATACCACTGGTTCGTTAAACGTCTTCCAGTATCTTCAACCAAGTCCAGTTGCCCTTGATTTTAACCTTCGTTGGATAACTATGACCTGGATGACTGAGAATCTTCATAGACATATATACAGTGTGTGTTTTTCTGACATCACATGATTTCTTGACGTTTCAAATCAACATTTCCTCACATTTGAACTTCAACTGTGAGCTCTGAATGTGTCCCCGGTGTACTAAGCTGTCCTCGTGGACGCTCACACTCATCCACCTACTGTACATGCATCATGCATGACATGACAACATAGCTATTACTCACGTAGCCGCAGGCCCTGCAGTGGTGTCTCCGCCGTGTCAGAGCATTGAAAGGCTCTTTACACTTCATACACATTGTCACTTCATTGTCACGGATCCAGCGAGGGGCGCGCTTCCCCAGCTCTGCATTCTATATTCAAATAAAAACAGTCAGTGCGATGGTGCAGAAATGTAGCGACAGTTTTAACTAGGTGTAAAACTCTGATGTGACACTGACCGACACTTCCTCCACGTCTCTCAGTGCATTCTTAAATGACTCGTTTCTTTGCTGGAAGATCTCAATGGTTTCAAGTAAAGCCTGAAGGATGAAAAAAAAACCTCTACATCACAATCAAACACAAATAATTAAATAAAATTATTCTGATTGACATTGTACTGTACGTACCTTAATCCAGCTTGCTTTATCCTGCTCTGAGCTAAGGATGAAAATGAAGCCAGAATAAGCATTAGAACATTGAAACTGTATAACCATAACTCATGTTCCTCTTATAACACCAACATAGCAGTTAGCAGTGGTCAAAGAGTTTAATTAGAGATTTACAGGATTTAAATATGGAGCTTGGGTGTGCTCATTTAGGCGGTCTTCCATATATATATATAAAATTATACTGTATGGGGTATAAATGACATATAATTACATACTTCAATGTGGGAGGGGCTGGGATGTTTTTGCACCTTTTTTCAGGGCTTGCAAAAAGCATGTTTTTTAAAATGACCTCCTATTGTGTTATATTATATATACGTGTGATATTTCTCCATAAAATGTACCTGGCCTGTAGCTCTAGTGTCCTCTCCTTCCCTGACACCTGGAAGGTATGAGGGTAATCCTCGTTGGACGTTTCCAGGACCTTCATGCCGTCGATGCCGATCCGCGTCCTCACTGTGTACTTAGGTCCTCCCAGGCTGAATTTGGGCACGCAGTACAACAGCATGTTGTTGAACTGGCAGAAGAAGAAACTGTTAGTATAGATCAGCGCTATTCCAGTTTAGGTTTCTGCCACTGGTTTCTTCCAAAGGGCCCCGTTTTAAACACTGCAGGTAACCTGAATTGCACAGAAGGGAGACATTCAGCCTGAAGCTAATAAGGAACAGCCAGAACATAATCACATCATCTGGCAATCTCAGTAATTGAGAGATTTGTTCATGGGCCCCCGATGTATCCTCACACAGGAGGTGCTCCTGGCTTGAAATGATGCATTTATTTCAATTGACTCGTGCAGACGAAGTCTCGCCTCGGCATATTTCCCTGCAGTGTCCTTCATCAGATAAGAAGATGTTCCCGCACCCGACAGTTTCTCTCACCAGGTAGAGGTATCGCTCCATGGCCGAAGTGTTCCGGGCTGCCAGCTTCAAGATGTGACCCTCTTTAATGAACTCGTTAGAGGGGTTAACAATGTCCTCCTCCTCACCCAGCATCTCGTATATCTCCATCAGTTTCTTCAGATTCTCCTAAATAACAACGGGACATTTAGTTTAGTTGGACGTTGACAAGTTGGAGAAATTAAAAGTCCAAAGAAAACGGTTTCAGACATCTGCACTTACAGATTTTCGTATGGCGCTGTTGGAGTGAGTAGCTGCTGTGGCGATAATTTCTAATGATTCTAGGATGTAAAAAATAGATAGGTTAGGTACCTTAAAATAGCCAAAGTGAAATAAAAATGACTCCTTGGAGTGGAAATGTTAGGTCTCTCGACTTACTTTCTGCATTTTGTCGGTCAGGGTCGTCCTGAGGCAGCTTCTTCAGATAGTCTTTCAGCAGCATCTCATAGCGAGGGACTCTCTGCACAGGCTCCAACATGTGATGCTGAAGCGTCAGGCAGCCACAGGCCTCTTGACTCTGTCCAGAAATAACAACAACAAAAAAAAAAACTCTTGCATGTTACCTGTGTGTACGCGACATGCTAAACCTATTAGATGTCAACAAAAAACGGTGCTTTTCACATTGGTACAACACTGCAGCACGAGTCTGTGTTCTTTCAGTGACTCGAAACCTCGCGTTTGTCCTGACTTGATTCTGGTTGGCAGTACCTGTATTTCCTGAATGATGGCCTTGAATTGAGGCGAACGATCAGTCCACTGTTTCAGCAGTTCCATGGCCTTGTCAAAATTCTTCACATACTCTGCGTACATCTTGAGGAAGGGTGTGAGTTTCAGCAGGATGTCTCCGATGCGACGCGTGGACGCCCTGCAGGGAGGGACAGAACAGGATAAGTTTAGTAACCATAATGTAGAGACCGGAGGTTGTTAATGTAGTATAATCCAAAATCTATTTACAGTTTATATGTAAATTTACAGGTAAAGGTGGTATTGCCACCTGTAGTTTCCATTGTTTTACCATTTATTATTATCATCCAACAGAAGCTTTATTATCTGTGTATGAGTGCTGGTTTCAGTACAAAGACACAATGTGAAGGCAGCAAGGCCTGATAAAGAACCATATTGCACTTCATTACAGGCTGAAGCTCACCATTCTCCCATGCGCTTCTCCAGGTCTGGAAGCAGAAACTGGCTGTGAAAAGCATTGATGGAGGAGATGTTGGAGAAGATGTTCTTCACTACGTCCCCAGGGAATGTCCCTTTATTGGCCTCCTCCATTAGCTTAGCACAGAATACCTGAAGAGCCGCATAAAATATAGAACTGATGAGAAAAGTCAATTTTGTCTGTCCATTAAAATACATTTCTCCACCTAACCTGCTTTGCCATTTTACCATCAATGTTTCGCTACTGTGTAATGTAAACCCTTTACTATGTGACATGGTCAAAAGAAGTGAACTGGAACGAGTCCCTCACCTGGTCCAGCAAGTTAAGTCGTGCTACGTAGGCCTTCTCCGTATGCAAGAGCTCGCTGGCGATCTTAAAAAGCTTCTGTTCATTTGTCTCCTGAAAACAGAGGGTACAACAATGTGTGGTGATCTAACATAACTTCTGATTGTTATTAATTAGCAAAGTGTGACTATAATCTTATTCTGTTGAGCTAGAAAGTCAATTGCTTATCTTTTGCCCGCTGCTATTATGGTGAGTGTGTTAATCTGAGCTGACTAAAAATAATGCAGAAGTGTGAGACAAACTGTTGCATGTATTGAGTTCAACTCAGTATTAATTCCCGCAGTGTTATTTGCAAGTGTAGCTTGTAGTTCCTGTTTGGTTCAGGCCTCTGATCTCAGGAACAACATGTAACATTTTTTGCATTTCAGTAAGAAAATCTTCATTGCAAATTATGCATTTATTGGACTGATTCAGGTTCAGTGCCTCAGTGACTCGTCTGCCGTTCGAGCGCTGCTGTTTGTTATTAAATGCTGTTTCATGCAGCAGCATTTAGCAGTGGTGAGTGTGACCCTAGCCAGGCTAGCCTGTGGGGTAAGAGGGGCTCTAAGAACAGGAAATGAAAATATGGAAGAGGGAAATGACACCAAATCAAACAAAGACACAAAAATGTCAAAACAGACCTTTGTTTGACAAGCAACAGTAGCCTAAAAAATGTACTCAACAAAAAGGTTCCACACACATCTTGATTTCATGAAATGTTGCAATCTGCCTCACATTTCCTCATAATTCATTTGTCAACAGATCTACAATGTGGCTAATTCTTTAGTGAGTTTCTGAGAAATATTTTTTCCACAGTTCTTTCATGTTCATGAATTTGTTTTCCAAGCATACTCTGCTTCAGAAGAAGACAAACAATTATTATGTATTTTAAAACTCTGGTCATTGGAGAATTTCGTGGAATGCATTTTAGTGCAAACAGCACAAACAAATCTGATTAGAGAACAAAGAACAAAGCCACTCAAAACTTCATCCAAATTTTATTGAGTCTTGACTGGCTACTAGATTTGAATAAAGATCAGGCAAGTTTCTACTTGACAAAGCTTCCCCCATATGCATAGTTTTCACTGAACATTTCACCGTGGAGCGACCGATGGCGCAGCTCCTGGCTCTTCCTCTCCCATACCATCGGGACAGCGTGTTTGTTTTCAGCAGTGAGAAGACAGAGTGATCTGAACCTGAGATATTTATAATCTGTAGACTGTAACAGCAGCCACCAAAAGCTCCCACAGGGGAGATGTGGCTGAGGCACCAACTCAGCTGCTCCAGCATTTGACATCTGTTCAGTCTTTGCAGAAAATAACCCCTCTGAGACGCACAGACAAAGACTCTCCCGTGTAACTCTACCCTTTCAATGTCAGAGTAACCTGGAGTTGAATTAGTTCAGGAGATTTAATTGTCCTGAAAACCCAAAACATAAATAAATGCTGATGGTTTTCCTTTTAGAGACTGCAGAGTCAGAGCAACAAGACAACCCTGTAAGGTTGTAAATATACAGTACAAATACACAGATCACTTGGGCGCAAGGGCGACAAAGTTGAAAAATCAACCAGCAGACATGCACGTACCTTTTGGTCTGTGCTCCCTTCTACATTCCTGTGCTCAGTTTCTGTTGTAGTCCCACTGTCCTCATTCTCAGTGTGGCTTTCTGTGCCAGTCCTGTCTGTGTGTGGAGGTGAATGATCATCACTCTGTTCTGCGCTCCCGTCCCCCATATCTCCATTTACCAGCCCGTCGGTCTCTATCCTTTCATTGTTCCTCTCCTGTTTGTCCTCCTTCTCCCTGTCCTGCTCCATCTGCGCTAGCACCCCGTTAGCCGCCGGTTTGGGGGCATCCTGCGGTGCGGCCTGTACAGGGGAGTGGTTCTCCTGACTGCCGTCGGCCTCTGTCTGCCTCTGGTGCACGCGGTGAGCTGGGCTGCAGTTGGGCAACTTGCTGATCTGTTTGAGCGGTGAGCCGTCTCTCTTGCTCTCTGTGTTGCTGGAGGAACAGGGGAAAATGCAAAGGAGGAAGTCGGTCAGTGCGGCAAGAGCACAGCAAGAGAAATTAACTAACAAAACAAAACAAAAGGTGAGGAACAAGGAGGGGAAAAAAAGATTACACGAGTCTGTTCAGGAGCTGCTCAAGCCGTTGATCAGGGAGTGGGGGACACAGCAAGCAGAGCGCTTTCGTGTGTGAGAGTTAAAAATAAATCAGTAGAGATGCACAAACTTCCTTTTGACTTATGCGGCAGCTGAGAGCTGGTGTAATGCAGAGGAAGTGTGTTCTGTGTGTAAGCAAAGGAGGAATGGAGGTACAGTAATGAGTAGGACAGCAGGAGGGGGAGAGGTACTACACTACTCCCCAGAGATAGAGGCTGTCCTACTTCCAAGGAGAACCAACATTACATACGCACACACACATTCATGTACAATGTCACCATTCATCTGCTCGACATCCTGTACCGGCAGTCAGTCCAGCTGTTTCCCTGTAAAAGACCCTCCAGACCTCCGGTCTTACAGCAAGAGTAGCTACTGTATCTTAGCTCAGTTTTGCTGATCTCACATCTGGTGTAAAACAAATCAGTTCTAGGAAGAAAAAAAACTGCTCACACATTGAGCATCACCATTTTAAACTTAACCTTTATTGATTAAAAAAGCTGGTGATTTTTAGCCTCAGCGACGTTCCCCTGCTTGCGCTGAATGTCTCGGTAGAAACAGGAAGTGTGTATAAACAGAGGAACAACAACAGGCTGGTGAAACACTCCACAGATGAATCACTTCTGGGCTGTAGGCCACCTCAGGTGTTGTGACAACAATATTGTCCATAACCCTCAGAGGAACCCTTAATAACACCACGATTAGCTGGTGAGAGATACTGCTTCATACTGTTTTCAGAAAAACACACACTGCTTCAGCTTGTAGAGTGTATGTGCACACAGCAGGTCCTCTTTGCATTTAAATAGCACAGTAAGTGTTCCAGTACATGACTGTGTTTTAAAACAGGCTGAACTAGACAAGAATTAAGAACAGCTACACTTGCCATGTGGCCTATCCTTTAAGGTGCCTTTAAGGCAGCCAAGTGTCATGTGAACCAGATTAGTATATTAGTAGGCTAATTCTGTTCTCTGAAGCTGCAGGCCTTTCTCTTCTTTCTGTCCCAGGGCCACTAGAGGGCTAATCCCCACTGCCCCACAGAGTGAATGAAAAATATACACCCCGTCGCTCTGATTAGCCTCACTTCAACACTAGAAAATGTGATGAAATGTGTGGAATTCTGTTTAGATTATGTAATTCTGTTTTCAGAGATCCAGGCCAGAGAAGAGTTGGAATATGAGGCTACAGAGTGAAATCTTTGTAGGCATGCTACTGCTGCAGACTGAATATTTTTGGGCTCTACTGTATGAGAAGTTGGGACAAGGGCACCATTGTTGTGCCTCTCACCACTTTCAGTGGGCCTCCCTCGCATAGACAAGGCTGCAGCTACGATCACAACTTGCACAATAAAACAAGGTTTAATGCGCAAAAAAAGAAGGGGCCATTGGTAGGCCATGTAGAGCGCTTATTCCTGCATTAGAATTGGTAAACTGAGCAGGGTAAGAGTTTGTGTAAAAGCAGAGCCAACACAATACTTAAATCACCATGTAACTAGGAGGCAAGAAGATCAAAGTAGAGACATTAAAGTTGAGATAGTCGGAGAGATCCTACCTCATCCTCCTAGGCTTCATCTCGCACGGAGTCCTGTCCCATAACTGAATGAGGTGCTGTGTTTCCCCTCGCCTGTACAAATCTCCTTTCATCCCCGTGCTAACGCTTGGCTTGTGAAGCACAGGCTTATCTCCGCTTGTTCTGTCTATGGCTCCCGCCTGTGCTACTATCAATGAGTCAGGCTGAAGGCTTTAATCGAGGGACTTCTGCTTTTCATACTTCAAATAATCGGCATAGGAAACATTAGGAAAGTCAAAGTTTTCCATCACTGTGATTACAACAGCTTGAATGAGGTCGTCTTGTTACAACATCTATTGAGTGACGTAGATGGAGTTATTCAACTGGAACCAATCTATGATGCTAAAAAAAAATATGCTATGCTGGTGTTCAGAGACTGTGTGATGTTTTGAATCAGCAGAATTTCTCAAGCGAAAGCAATACGGAAGAGCCACTTTCACTGAATGATATTCCACAATAGATTGGCATCAGATGAAATGAGCAATTCCTTACACAGATCCTCCTGTCCTATACTCAACTTTTTTCATTCCTTCTAGTTTCTCTCTGTGAAGGGAAACCACACACAGCACCAGAGAGTGAAGAGCTCCTACCTGTTCTCCTCAAAGTGGCTGATGAGTTCTAAGACTTTGGAGTGTTTCTCCCTGGCTCCCTCCCGGTTCACAGCCCCTCTTCCTCCACCTCCTCCTCTTCCTCCTCCTCCTCCCCCCTCTTCCATGTTTGGTCTAAAAGTGGGTTTCTGGATGCGGCTCAGAGGGGACGTGAGCTCCGTCACCGGGCTCTGGAGATGTGGTGGCTTTGGAGGCACTAGAGAGAAGACGGAGGGAAAGTTTGAACACTGGATGCTGGTGAGATGAGATTTTTCTCACCAGGGAATATGTCACTGCAGTGTCATTTTAGACCACAGGGGGGCAGTACAAGCTATCCCTACTGACACCACACACAGGACGCTCAGCTGTAATGAATATATTAAATGTAACAAAAACTTAATCTAGCTCAGGTTGGTGTAACTACGCGGTTTCACTTTTTTTTCACAAATCATGTGGAATTAAATTTCCCGCATGATTTACAGCAGCAGAAAGAATGGAGCTGTGTCTCTCGTCTTATCTGAGTATGATGATTAACTCAAACTCAAATAAAGAAGGAACGAGGCTCAAGGTTCACTGATCTTCTGTTAATATTCTATTCCGGTTTTCGCTTGTCCCTGCAATGATCTGAACATGTGTAGAGCCATATAGTATACTGCGGTGTAAATAAAACTTTTACTCTACTAAATTTCAGAAGGTTTGCTCCACTTTAATTATTAGTTACAGCTATTACATAAGTATTATTAGACAGCTTTGGTTGCAAGTTACTTTACTAATTAAAATGTTTGCATACAAATCATACAAGGAGCTTATAAAATATGATGTTTTGTTATAAAGTTAACTATCCAACAGAATATACAAGTACAGCTAAAACAATTAGTCGATAAATCGATGAGTCCATGAACAGACAACTATTTCGAGAGTCATCATTTTTAATGTGAAGGTAAACATATTATGGTTCCAGCTTCTCAAATGTGAGGATTTGCTATTTTTTCTTTTAATAATTTGTATTTACTTTGTGGACAAAACAAATTAAAAATTTTTTCAAACCAAACAACCCGATCGATTAATGGAGAAATAATGAGCAGATTAATCCATAATGAAAATAATCATTAGTTGGAGTCCGATACTGAATACTAGCAACCACCACTGTAAGGCATAGCTGAATGTAAGGAATATATAGCCTAGTGTTTCTAGAAAATCACACAGTAAACAAGCATAGAAGGGCCATGTTAAAGCAGGAAAAAGGTCACTCTGAGACAATTAGCGTGTGCGTGTCAATACATTCTCACTGACTTCACATGTGGATCATAGGGTGATGCAGTTACGTCCACTGACCCCCCGGCTCTGCAGTGTTTGGCTGAATTGTTGTGAGTTGTCAATATGTACCTTGCGGTTTAGACGGCAGAGGTCTGCTGCTGGGGACTCTTCCATTGACCCCTCCCCTTTTCTTGTTAGTCCTCCCGCTGCTCGCCCGACTCAGACACTCATGCACACTGGGTGGGCTGCTGCTCGTGCACGTCGGGCTACTGCCTAGAACTGAAGGACAGAGAGGGAGAGAGAGCATGTCTATGTGAGCAGGCACAGTCCAACATCTATTGTTCACAGTCAATGAAATGAGAGTAATGATACAAATCGTGAAAGACAGATTAAGACAAAAAAAAATAATGTAGTTAGTAATGTTTCATGTAAATGTTGACACCATTTTTTCCCCATTAGACAGAGAATAGTAGGAAGTGGCAGGAAATCAAACCAGGACCACCTGGGCACCCAACAACATTGATTTTAATCACAAAATACATCTTCGTTACAAACGTCTGTGTCACAAATGACAGTATTGATATACCAATATATAACAATAGTGCACTATTAGATACAGTTTCAATTCACAGGCACCAATACCTGTATAGGTTCTTAGACATTGAGGCACAGCTGTATCCTGTCTTCATTCCAGACTTCTGAACTCAGAAAATGTTCTTCTTTCTGGCAATTCAGCATTATGCCCTTTTATGACTTTTGACTTCATGCCTTTTATAACTGTATGGGTGTGATGTCATGGTACATGTGCTGTGTATGTCTCATGTTACGCAGTGTTTGATCTCTGTCTATTTTTTTTCACTTTGCATTATAGGCCTACATTTTCTACCTCAATTATAATAGCTGAAAATACAAGCAAAACACAAAATATCAAATGTGAAGGAAATGTTGTAAACACCGAACTACAAGAGGTTCACTCTGCTGAAAGCTGAAGCCTATTGATGAATTCAGTGCTACGATTTAGAACTTGACTTTAAAGTCTTTGGATTATTATCAAAAACTTTCACAGCCTTGTCTCAAAATCACAACCGGTTGAAACATTGCAAGCCTGAGAGATCAATGTGGCTTTCAAACAAACTAACTTACCATCATGCTAAAACATAAGCCTATACACAGATGTAACACACAAACAGGGCATACCTTATATTCATTGCTGTGAATATGTTTATGATAAACAGCTGCAAGGTAAATATTAGAGTGTCAGACAGTTCAGTTGATTATCTGGCTAATGATCCAGCTGATGATCAGCTTTTAACCAACCAGCTGGCCACAGATGGTACAGCATCAGTGTTTAGATAGAGCAGGCAGACTGATTTAATGGAGCAACAGACACAGACTGGCAATGTTTATAGTAATCCAAATCTACCCCTCTCTGACCTCACAGCACGCGCCAGCACACGCACACGCACACGTGAAGTGCGTACACTACATGCAGCCTAGTAAGGCAAATGCCCATATATGGTCCTACATTGCCAGGAGCCAGTAGGTCCTCTCATTATTTTACAAGGTATTAGTCCATTAGTTTCCATTTAAGGTAGTCACTGAAATAGGTATCGTTGCTTTAGAGCGATTTAACAAGCAGCACTGATGTATGGGGTTAGATGCAGAAATCAATGTAGCTATGCACTCGGCTAACTTGTTTGGATAAATAGTGTGTGGAATGGAATAGCTGATAGCTATAGAGTGGGCCTTAAATGATACAGACTAAGATTTTTGCAAAAACTAGAACATCCGACTACTTTTATTTATATCTGTTCTGTTTTTACTCTTACAGGTCGACAATACACAGACAGAATTGTCCGGTCCTTCTCTGGTTTGGTACTTAGTGATGCTAATGTGGAAAGAGAAATTTTCCATAATATAAATCATTGATATATTAGCTCTTAATTCCTTGATAGACAGTTTCATTTTCAAAGATAGATCCAGCTAAAAGCATTTGCACTTATAGAGGAATACATAACATTTCAGATTAGATCTTCCACCCTTCCTGACAAATACATCAGCATTATATGAGCTGAAACTATTAATCAATTGACAGAAAATTAATCTGGAACTATTCTAATGATCCACTAATTGCTTAAGCCTTTTTTTCTAAGCAACAACATAAAGACTTTACTGCCATGCTAGCGCCTCTGTGGGACTGCACTTTGGCACATTTGAGCTAAATGCTAACATCAGCATGTTAACATGCTCACACTGACGCCAACAAGTGTATGTTTAGCAGGTAATAAGTACCATGTGCACCATCTAAGTTTATCCTGTTAGCATGTTAACATTTGCTAATTAGCACTAAAGTACAGCTGAGGCTGATGGGAATCTCAGTAGTTTTGGTCAAATTTTGAACTGATGGTGGTGCTAAATAAAAAGTCAGAGGATCACCAAAGTAAGTAGGACTCCTCCTCTGAGGACCACAGATGTCTGTACAAAATATCATGACAATGTATCAAGTAGTTTTTAAGATATTTCAGTCTAGACTAAAGTGGTGGACTGACAGACAAACATTGCCATTCATAAAGCCATGGCGGTAGTATGGCTAATAAAAAAGGCAAACTTGGCCACTACTTTCACATAGTCCTGTGTGATGGTAAATGGATAGTTTTGGAGTTTGGGACTGTTGGATGACTATTTGAAGATATCAGCTTGGTTACTATTATATTACCTTTTATAGGCCAGACGATTAGTCCATTAATTGAGAAAATAAACTGTAGTTTAATTGAAAATGGAAATAATTGTAAGTTGTATATGAACATCTGATATTAGAGTGGAACAAGTATGTATACCACATATGTGGTGTACCCTTCTAGATGCAGTTTGTTTACAAAAGTGTTGCCTTGGGGACTATATTTACTTTCCCTTCAGTGATCTTTATCGTAATTAACCTGAGACAAAGAGAAAAAACCCCCCCACAGAATCACAGTGTCACATACACATACAGTTTCTATTTTTACAGCCTGACTGTAATTAAAGACACCAGCTCTAGTAACTGTCTGGCTGGAAACGGTCCCACGCTGTGCTTGGGAGGCCAGACTTTCTATACACGGCCCCAAAATTACCAATCAATTCTGAAAGCGCCCTCAGGAATTTCTCTTGATTACGTGCTTGGTTTCGCCTCAGGGCCACATTAAGAGATCACAAAGAACACATCCAGCAACAAGTTATACACCATATAATACATGTATGGCTCAAGATGAAGTCTCTGCCTGTAGATTGTACTCCACATATGGCATTTATCCTGGAAGATTGCAGGGGGTCCACTATCCACAGCCTGGCCCTGTCTCCTAGGGATGTTATTAACTATGTCAAACACAAGTCCCTCAGCTGTAAATCAACTCTGTGCTGGAGGCTTTCACTCGAACCTGAGTAAGTTGTGCGTGTAAATGTTCCTGTTAAAGATAATACAAGAATGAGGTAAACAGAGATATGTCTGGAAATGCAAACATATGAACACGAATGCCAGTAGACAGGGCAAATTCACAGAAAGACTGGCTCACATCAACTATCTTTAAGCTATTATCTGAACCATTAGGACAAAGAAAAAGATTGTACTGTGACATTAAAATTAGAATAAGCTCTACTTCCTTTCTCAGAACCTGAGTGCTTGGCAGGAACTGCTGCTCCTGGTAACACACACATTCTGGCATCTTCTCATAAAACCTTGCCACAAGTGACAGTAAATTAGTAGTAGCCAGCCACCACCCTGCTGAAACACGCTGATTCTCCTCCTCCATCTGCGTGACGGGAAAGGAGCCCTGATGCCTGGATCTGGCACTAACGAAAGAGGAACATCTGCTGGACAATGACTCAGCTGGGAAGAGATGTCGCCTCACTTCTTTGTATCCTACCTGGTGGTATGACAACTGCTCTTACTCTGGGTAACGTGCTCTGCAGAGAAACCGAAACACAGTTGGAGCTCCTCTGCAATCCAGGAAGTGAGGAGCTGACAAGTCAAACCGAGACTCGACCTTTGCCTCTGTCCTTGGTGGAGGATGGCGAGACTTGCTGCCATGGCAACTAGCCTGTTACCTTCTGAAGACGCAGCATTTATTTCACTAGAGAGTGGACTGAGCCAGAAGGCATCTGTTTCTATCTCAATAAATCCAAAACTGCGAGGGTGAGAAATGAGAATTGCTCTCATAAAGGTCAGGTGCCAGCAGCAGCGTAGATGAGAAGGAACAACTTGTGCTGGTTTGCAAAGCACCCGGCTTTCACAAATATCCTCTACACTATTCTAAAAACATGAACATCATCTTCCCTTAGTGTGTGAGTCTATCAGGAAGACAGAGCTATGTCACATCTCACCAAAAAAATCAGACCAGAACCATCTTGTTTTTCAATGAGGAAATTTAATCTACTTTCTGAGGTTTACCTGAGCTCAGTGTGTTCTGTGCATACTGTATGTGCGTGTGTGTGTGTGTGTGGCCAATGTTGTGGTGGTATTACAGAATGCCACCCACCTCCCATCCACAACCCTACAGCTATGCCACATCACAGCGGTAGAGGAATGAGTTTACTGCAAGCCAGCAAAGGAGGCAGAAGGAATGTATCACTCTGACACAAAAATCTTTCTCTGCAACAAAAACACAAACAGTGTCCGAAAATAGTGATTCATCCAAACTAGTGCCTAAAATAGTTTGGTTACAAGGATGCCAAGGTCCGCTGGTTTGTTGGTCAAACACTTTGGTCCTAAGCAAAACAACTATTGGATAGATTGCTATAAAATTTTAATTTATTTCATTAAAAACAAAAAATGTCAACCTCATGGTGGCACTAGAGTAAAAAGCCAGAAGGATCTGGGGACCATAAATGTCTCCACAACATTTTCCATCATGTCATTGTTCAGATATTTTAGTCTGGAAGAAGGTGGTGGCCCAACAGACTGACACTGCCATCCCTACAGCTGGTGTGTTTAAAACTACATGGCCTTTCTAACAATGTACTTACTACCTGCAGCAAAGTCTGAGATACTTTCTTGTCCTTTAAGCACAGAAACAAACTGCAATCCTCCTGGCTTTGCAGGTGGGCAGTCTGTTAATCTCCACATGTCAGCCTCTCAGTCAAACATTATTAAGTGACATTCAAGACATTTCTGCGCTCATGACATCACCACCTCCTTGAGGCGTTGTCACCTGGAAGTAGGCCTGCCTGACCTGTCTTTTATGCGTCTCACTGTTTCTGTCCCTCCGCCCAAACCCCCTTTGGCATAATGTGTGCCGATACTTAAGTGTGAGAAGAAAACAAAACACAAAAGGCACACCTGTCTGTGGGATGCAGTGTGTCCCTACCCTGCCAGCAGCTCAAGACACCAGGCAGCTTGAAACTAAGGCTTTGTCTTCTCGCCTCGTGGCCCCACGGGCAAAACCTCCATATCACAAGGAATTTCTGAGTGGACTTTTTGCAAATTCTGCTTCTTCTTAATAAATGGGTTGGCAATATTAACCAGAGTGGTTTTTACACAGCTACAGTAAAATCAGGAAAGACGAGGGAAAAGGATGGACAGAAGAAATCTTAGTTAGTTAAAGTAGACAGCCATATCTAGAATATCTTCACTTGACCATCAATCAGCTTGCAACTGTTCCATTACGGCTGAAATGCAAAGGGATGGAAATTATCGAGTGTGATGATCTCTCCGAGCCTGTTTACATGTGTAGGCTGTTTATTATATCAAAGGCTCAGACAGTTTTAGGGTGTAAACAGTGCAACACTGTCACATTCTCGTAAATCAGCAGATAAAAGAGCATGTCAACATGAGAGCATGCATGCTTGTTTCTAGCCATTACCTGAGTGTGGTCTGCTGCAGATGATCACAAATCAAAAGTTAAAAATGTAAATACAACAAGACGTGACCATAGTCAGGAGAGATAAAAAGAGCAGAAATAAAAGTCAAAGTTAAAAATCCCAGTAAATGAACTCACCCTGTGCTTGAGACAGAAAAGGAAAACAGATGCTGTGGAGTGTATCCTCTGTGTGGGACCACGATGTGTGTGTGTGTGTGTGTCCCAGAAGAGCACAAAGTTCTTCCCAGGCTGTGCTGCCGCTCAGTGACTCAGCTCGGCAAGCAGCCTCCTAAAGCAGTACCAAGACTCCTCCTTCACTCAAGCTAACACACCCCTTATTTAAGTGGCATTTACAAAACACAGAGGCACACACACACACACACACACACACACACATCCAGAGGTTCACAACACATAACTCTGAAAGGACAGGATCTATATATTTAGACAAAGCTACAAATCTACAAACCGTGGAAAGTCATTACTAAATCATGATTAAACATGACAACATGATTAAAGTGCTCTTCAACATCCTCTCACTTGTTGATCTTATTTGTTTTAACCTGATCATAAAAGAAACAAACAAACAAAGCCTATTGCTAAGAGTGTTAGTGTGAAACAGGACAACTAGAGGACAGAGCATTACAGTTGTGTGACGTCCAGAGCAGCTCTCGTTCTGTTTGGTATCAGTCACTCTGATCAATGATTAACAAATACCACAGTAAAGCAGCCTGGAGCGCCACGCACCAGTTTTCTCATGTGAAACTAAATGAAGCCCAAAGCCGCTTATGTATTATTTTATAACTGTCCCGCCAACTTCTTCTCCCGAGGCATATTTCTTCTGCAAATATTTCAGACTTTAAAAACAACACAAAAATTAATGAACAAACTCAGTGAGTCGAACGTGTATCTGGTAAAATCCACTGACCACATGTGAATCTAGATTAACATACATGAAAATGAAACAAAGATCCTAGGAACAGGCTTCTTATTATCATGTACGAGATGTACCTTTTGCAGAAGTGGGCACAGGGAACCGCGACTTGAGCTTCTCCATGTTCTGTATCTGTCCTGTGTGCAGAGCTGCTCCTGGTGTCTGCGACAGTCAAGCTCGGAGGTGCTTGCTCTTTTGAGTAATTGCTGAGTGTGTTATAGATCGACTTTGAGCCTTCACATGCTTACAAAAAAACATCAAGACAGGAACTGTCTAACGGCTATGCTATGACACCCACAGCTCTTGTCTGTCTGTGAAGATGTGAAAGGTGAGTGTATGCGTGTGCTTATTTTGCTGTACTCCACCTATACTCCACCTGCATGCTCACTGATGTGCGTTATGTGTCGGCAGAGCAGGATTAGAAGGAGTGACATGAACGATGCTGCTCTTCCAGCAAACCAGTCCGACCAGTAGAAATTCCACTCACTAAATGACGTATCCTTTTTTTTTTTTTTTTTTAAACGACGTTTCCTTACACGACTGCAGTAGTTCAGGCACAGCTACATTTATAATCCAATTCTTAACATTTCAGATAAGTGAAGCAATCCTGAATAATTGTGCAATGGCAACCAAAACTGCACTCACATGCTCACGTCTCAGTGGTGCAACCAGAAGTCGGTGCCAGTAAAAACGTGATGCAGCCAGCCTCTGCAGCCTGCAACCTTATTGTTGGCAGGGTCTCATTTAGCAGGACTGACTGGTGTCATCAGAGATGCTGCCAGTGACCTCTGAGGTGTTCAAATAGAAGCATTTGGACTGATGGCTTAATGAAAAGACATGTTCTTTAATGAAAGAGCACACGCTTAAATCACATCGTAAGCTGCTGAATTGGCTCAGTTTGAACTTATAGTAGGACTTTGGATTCATCTATTTTAGACACAAGAACACAAAATTTATTTTTCCTCCCGCCGTTCTGCTATTACAGCGATAGTTTCCCTGTCTGAATTCTTCATTGTGCACATGCAAAGATGTCAAAAATGCATACATGGAAAAAGGAATCATGGGAACAAAAATACTTTCCAAGGCACATGAAAAATACAGAGACAAAATGACACTAACTGCTGCTTCCGAACTTATTTACATAGTCACACAATTATTTTCCCCTTTGGTTAGTGTGCATTCAGGTTAAAGTCCTGACAGGGATATAAAAACATGAAACACACACACACACACACACACACACACACACACACACAAAACACGGTTTCTAACAATATCCGGTGCCCTACATCACTCAATGAGATTAGAGGGTGCGTATGTGTCTGGCTCTACTCCGGTACACCAAGCATTTATTGTGTTTGTGTGTGTGAATCTATGTGATAGACATGGTGACAAATAACCATTACCACCAGGCAAGGGGGATTAGCTGTTTCTGTTAAACTACCCAGACTTTCTTCAGATTAACCCTGCCTCATCCCCTAATCCAAGGGCCAGCGTGCGATTAGAACTCCAGTCTGCTCTGAACCAGGATGCACGAGGATTGGGGGGGGGGGGGGGGGGGGTGAAAGAGATGGGGAAAAAGGTAAGAGAAGGGGACACAGTATTTTGCAGATTGCAGATGATGAGAGAAAGGCAAAAGGTGAGGAAAAAGCTAGGAAAATTGAATAAATTGACAAGCACAGAGATGACTGGCAGATGAAAATCCAGATGAAAGAGGGGTGAAAGGACAGAGGACAGGACAGAACAGAATGAGATGGCACAAACGAAGAGGAGAGAAAATGAGCCAAAGTTTAAAATAGATAGGGGGGCTGAAGAAAAGCACCTATTCATCACACAGACAAGTTTAATCTAAAAATAGAGCGGAGACCAGCAGCTTTCTTCACACCCTTGCATAGCTGTGAGCTGGAAGGAGAAGTGTTCACAGCATCACCCTGTATCCACTTCCATATCTCATATCACCCTGTTCTTAAAGTTTACTTCACTCTGTGTCGGACTTGCTTAAAAGAAGAAGAAGATCTCGCTAGATTTGGTCAGGTTTAGAAAGGAAAGCCTTGGCACTTTCTGCATGATATTGATTTCACTGGCAAACACGTGCAGCCCTCCTGCTGTGAATCAGAGGTGGTGACTGACAAGTAACAAAGCTTTGCATCTTAATTCACCTTCCGGCAGCGCTACCTCCTACACATCACAAAATGAGGATCAAGAGGAGGTAATAAAAGATATGAACTGCGTCACACCAACACAAATAAATACAGCCAGGAAACCACAGGACATAAACAACCTCATCACATGTATGCACAAGTGAGCTGTGAACCACTATACATACGCACACACATATGTATATAAAGTTGAGTGAAGAGTGATGCTGCCTACCTCTGGAGTGTTCGATTTTGACTGCAACGCAGGCATCCTCATCGGCGTTCTTGGACCGGAAACAGTCAGCTTTGCCTTTTTTCTCTGTAACAACGAAACATATCACTCACTACAAAAAGAAATAGAAGCAAAGTAGGGAACAGGAGGATATTTTAATACTCGACCCGCATCTGAGGCAGGAGCTTCAAGCTGCTTCAGGCAACACGCATGTTTTATTTAAGAGGAGCCCCAACTCTGTACAGGGAGAGGACATGAAAATGAGGTATGGAGAAATAAGAGGCAGGAGGAAGCATGCCATGCTATTCTATATTTTCCAACAGGCTCTATGGGCTAAACAGCAGCTGAGAAAATGAGCTGGACATGCATGGATTTGGAAATATTAAAATTTGGGGCAAAAGCTGGTAGCTGCATTTATCAAGATCAGGAGAAGACTTGTGTTTGTTTTGAGAATGAAAAGGAAAATACCGCCCCTTGGAGACAGAAATCCTAATTAGTCTGTCTGTGATATGTAGGGCATTGTCTGTGGGGAGAGCTAACAGTCTTTCAACACATCCGTTTAATATGCACATAAAAGATTAAAGGGAAAATAACAACAGTCGTAAAAACAACGATGGGCTCAGGAGTATTAGTGAGCTCCCTACAAACACACATACACAAAACTATGCTCTGTCTGATCAAATAGGAAGCATCAAAGCTGTGGGATGATCAGTGCAGTTGCTGACATGCAGCAATATGTGCAAGTGACACAAAATGTAACGGCTGTACAACAGAAGAAATTAAAGTTGAGCTGACTACATACAGCTGGCTGATACATCAGCAGGATAATATAAACAGCTGATTATTGGGTTATCACAGATATCACAGTCGGCATCAGCATGTAGAGTGTGTTGGCCAATATGCAAAAAGAAATTGCAGTGCTGTAAACTGCAGCAATAAATGTTAGAATTGCAGCACTTTTTACACAAGACAAGTTTAATATAGTTTTGTTTGATGTTTTTAAAGTTATTCTTTAAAATATTCATTTTCAAGTGTTCCTTTTTTTGTCATACTAGTGCCATGAAATTTGGTACAAGTGCTCATGGTCCCCAGAGGATGAATCTTATAGATTTTTTTTTTTACTTAATAGCAATATTAACAGACATATCTTCATCAAATTAAGCTATTCTCAGGTATCAAAATTTTTATCTGCCTCAACAATCCAGTATCAGTGATGCTATAATGTTTCCACAAGAATTTGCACAGGAATATTATGAGATTATTTACACACATTTTGTCATTGAAGTCATCTTTTAGTAGAAACATCACTCATTACTTGCCATTATTTTCCTTAATGTACCAAACTTGCAGTAAGTATTTAGCACAGTATCAGATAGGATTAATCAACACAGCAGTGCTGAACTGACATAAATGGAGTGTGGATAATGTCACCTAAAAGAATAGTGGGCAAACCCACTGTGTGCGTGTGTGTGTTTGTGTGAAGGGGGGTATAATATCCTGGCTCAGGGATTAAAGGAGGGCTTTCTCCACCCACCATCTGGACTCTTGATGACAGGCCTGCCTGCTGTTCACCCCCCCCCACCACACACACACACATATATATATATATATATATATATATATATATATATACATATATACACAAATAACTTGTAAAGTTTATGTGTGTGTGTACAGTACATTCAGTAAATTGAACCCGAATCTCTTGTACAAGCTTCCTATACAAAATAGAACACATCTAAGCACCCTATGAAAAGCATTACCCAAATATCAGACCCTTCTCTGTTGAGACAACCCACTCACTCAAATGTGACCAACACCCCACTCCAGCAGACTCTCTGTCATGTGACCAGAGTCATCATACGCCTATTGTTTCCTGAAGTGGGGGATGTGTTGCCAGCACTAAAAAAAACACAAACACACATGCTCTGCCAGAACAAAAGTGACAACATCTATGAAGGATAAAAAGGTCGAATGATTGGGTTTCCGAGATATGAGATGTGGGTGTGGGGAAAACCTACTTCAGTGATGATGTTGAGATGGGGAGAGTCTACTGGCCAAGCTCCTGGACTGACCCGAAACTTCCTCTTCCTGTCTGTCAACTTCCTGTTTTTCATATTCTATATTCGCAAACAGCATACCAAGACTCTGACTACAGCACAAAAGAGAAACTGCACAAACTCACATGTGACATGCACAGTCCATGGTCAGGCAGGATTTTGGAAGCAATGTGAAACTCATTTTATGATAAGGTCCTGGGATACTGAGGATGAAACCGCAGCAACAGTGATGGAGAAGAGATTGCAAAAGATGCCTTGAACTTCTGATCTACAGTAACTGTGAAAAAAAGGAGCCCAAAACTAAATTACTGATACTGGAAGAGAAATTGAGGAACCGAGAAAGCTGGGTCGATTTTCTTCAGCGATGTCTGCGTGTTTTACCCGCTTACTGTCAGTAACAGTAAAGACAAACTGCACAGGCACATTTCTGTCAGGCCAGATTTATGCTGAACGCAACATGCCAACTAAGAAAAAAAATGTCTTCGGGCTTCGGCTTCCTTTAATTAGCATTATAAATTAAACACTCATACACAAAGGTGGCAAACTGCAAAAAATCCGCCAGTGATGGCTGTCAATGAAAATAAAAATCAAATTTAACCGTTCCATTCATAGCAGTTCAATCAGCTCTCTGAATAAAAGCTTTTGCTTTTCCTGAAACGACCGGAATATTACATAAGCTACCATTTTAATACCACTATGAAAACTGTAATGACAGGGGATGATCAACATCCCACTGGTGACTTCTCCTTGACAGTTAAAGGACAATTAATGGCGTACGACATTTGTCAAATCTGTGTGTGTGCGCGCGTGTGTGTGTATGTATGGAGTAGTGTAAACAACCCTATTATCACACAATCTCTGTCTCTGTTTTAACCTGTTCTGAAGCAATGACAAAACTCCCGACAGACAACTGCATTGTTGGACACCAAATGAGTTCTGATCTGAGTGTGACCTTCAGTTAACGCACAAAATGACATCACAGCCTCTCCACTGCCACTTCTCGTACATTCTCTACTCGCCTTTAAACAAGTTACGAGAAATTATCGACATGGTTTCCCCACAACAAATAACCTACATGTTTAAGATGTTTTTAGGGTGACTGCACCCACGCTGATGGAGCCACTTGTGTGGCAGCTCCTGTGTGTAGGGTGTTTATTTTCAGTGGTTCACTGAGGACTCACCTTTTTACTCTACTCATCTCTTTTACACAAACCAAAACAAACTGTATTTTCTTGTTGTTTTTGAGCTGACAGGCTGTTTAAATAAACATAACATGACGACCGTACCTTTGAGCACTCCTCTCCAGTATAGCTGGGTTTTCCCCGTCCTATCAACCATCAGTTTAGCCATCTCAGAATGTCCCTTCAGCTCAGTTTTATCAGCATTTATTAGGAAATTACTGTCCTTTCTTCAGACACAATCTTCCCTGTTGGCTCGTTACTTCGTGTGTGTTTACATGTTCCAATCAAACCCTTGGAGTACCTGCCCCGTCACTGCACAAACCGGTTCCCTGGAAACCACAGTCACCAGGTGTGGGAGAGAATGGGAGGAGGGTGAAGTTGTCCTTCAAGATGTTGATACACAGTCATATCTGAACCATTTCCATTATAATGTTTTGAGGGTTAGCCAGCACTCAAGGACAAAGTCACCCCAGGGTGGGAGGAGAGAGTGGGAAGAGGAGAGAAAGCAAAGGAAGGGGCGGAAAACCCTGTAAATCCCTGACGAGGAAAGGTGGAGGATGGAGGGAGAGGAACTCACAGATGGAAAAGTGAGAAAGATGAAATTAACAAGACTTAATTTTTAACAAAAGGTACGGTCGACATGCTATGTTTATTTAAACCTACCTACCTACCTACCTGCCTGCAGTCCTGCCAAATAATCGAATAACCTATCATTAGGCAAATTTTCAACTGTGACGTTATCTTTCTTTTGCTCCTGTGCCACTGTATATATCCTAACCGTATTTCTCACATGCTAACTGTATTACACAAATCTGACTGCACAACCCCCCCCCCCCCCCGATAAGCCCAATTTTAACCTAATATCAGTCCTGATGTACTGCCACAGAAATGAATGTTACACACAGACTCTGAAATTAAAAAAACTAAATCACAGAGGGGAATATGCACTTATCATCCCATAATGATGAGAAACAGATTCTATTAAATATATAAAAAGACATTTTCTGCCCATAAGGACTCAAGAATGCTAAGTAACCTCAGCTTCATTTGCATGGCTGACCTAGATGGAGATAACCATACCATTCAAATGTAACTCATAAATAATGGAAAGGGGAGAACGTATTAATATGCCAAGTCACACCCCTTTAATCATACAGAGGTTCATGCTGGTAATATTGTGTGTGTCCCTGCGTGTGTGTGAGCACATGTCCTAGGTTTTCATGCTTGACACAGAAGAGATTGGCTATTGAATGAGACCAGATGCGTCATTCTCCATTCTGTCCTGTCCTCCAATAATGGACAATTACCAAAGAGTTATGGTTTTCTGCCACAAACATAATAGAGTGAAAATTAAAAGGCCTTGTAAAGCCTTTAAGTGGTCAAGGCAACCAGATGAGACCCCTGTCTCCAGCTCATGGAGAAAACACAGACATATGATGTAGTTTACTCTCCGTATAAGCCAACCAGCCAAGTCTTTACTGTGTATTTACGGTGATCTACTGCAGAGTTTCCCACCTGGCAGATATAATCATTTTAGCGTTTTTTTTATCTCCACCAACTCCAGAGGGAAATATCTGTCTCTTTTACTACTTAATGCTTCACTTTGTTCACCAGCTGTCTTTATGTGTCTGCTGTTTGGTAGTGGACAGGTAGTGTACGCTGCGTTGCGCAGTGGGAAATGCAAACAATAAGATGAGTCGGACAATTCTCTGTGGCTTCATAACAAAAGCAACCCCTTTTGTATACTAGTAGCCATGTGATCTGCTGGTAATGTAAAATATTGATTGTAGACGCTTTAAAGCAGATGTAATTCATATTTTGCAACTTGAGGGCAGCACAACGAGGT